TTCACGTTATAGGGCAGAATCACGAACAGTCGTCTTTCAATTTTCACTGTCAAGCAGAATTCGCAGCAAGATCTAACGCGCAACCTCGCAGTATTCATCGGGGCAATCCAGCTACTCGCGCATCCGTCGCAGGTTCCGCTAAATCGCCGAATTCAGCGACGTGCGACGGATTGCGGACTCTGACACCAGCCTGAGGATGCCGTGGACTATTCTCCAGGCAGAAGGAGGTGACCGCCTGAGGCCCCATTTCCAGTTTGCGTGGAAGACTATTCAGAGACTTCCAAAGGTATGTATCTACTGGGTCAACAGTCTTGTTCAAGAAAAAAAAAAACGGCTTTAGGCTTTAGCTGCTGATTTGCGATCATTGCCCGAATTTTCCGGAAGAATCGAAAAATGTTCTCGAGAGATCGGGATCGGATAGATTATTCCATCAGAAAATGTTCATAGGTGTCTTTCTTTTCTCTTTTTTGTACAACTTTTTATCGCCGAAGCGATGAGTCACTGTCTTTTTCGGCCTTCTCCATTCAGCCGGCCAGCGTGATGCAGGAGCCGCAGTACTGTTCACGGATTGCGGAAAGCTATAACTTCACGACAGTAAAAAGTTTAGGATAGCGGTTCCTCAAATTTCAAGAATTGGACAGTGTGACTGTGAGTTGAGATGCTCTTGTGGAAGTTCTAATCGGTTCGATACTCGTGCCGAACGTTTAGATCTTGTGCACTTCCCTCAGAGTCTGTATGCGTTTTTTGTAGTGATAACGAGAATGGACTTCTTTCGCCACTCTCGAATCTCTGGATTGCTTGATTTTAATTTGTAATGTTTAGTTTGTCTTTCTCGACAATTACTTTGGATCCTGGTTCTGGAGAAGTTCAATGTCTTCCACTAATGGATGTAATCGAAATTTCGAAAATGTGGATTGTGGCGGCGAAGTGAGCGGACAAGCGGTAAATGTTAATCCTTTGTCTGTTTTTGCTTTTCCTTTGTTTTGCTTGTTTTCAACTTTTCTTAGACCAAATGTATCCACGATGTGGTTCATCCCCGGTTAAAAATGCACTCCCTGTCTTTCCCTTGTATGGTCCGTCCCGATACTCCTTCAGGAATAAGGTTCATATTAGGGGTATCGCCCTCCAAAGACGTCATGAGGTCGCCCTCCAAAAGACGTCATGAGGTGCGTGAGACCGTTCACAATTTGGCCGTTTTCTACGAACCAGAAAGAGGCACGTCATGCTATGAGCGCATGCTGGCATATTAGCCATTCAACTGTGAAGTGAGTGGAGAATCCTAAAACATGATCAGCTGGTGACTGAACCAACCATTTCGATAATCCAGAGTGATGTTCTTTGGGTCCTTAAAATCTCAGTGGTTCTTCTGTTCTTCGTCTCCGTGATTCTGTGCTGGAACCCATTTTATGAGTTTTAAGCGTTGCTTTTAGGACAGAATCGCGGCATGGATAGGCCCTCTAGGTCACGCTGGATCCATCTTAGAATCACCTATGGGTTGTTGATCGGTGGGTCTTTGCTGTTCGGTGCGACATCACGAATAATGATCGCGTTTTTTGTCCAGGGCACCTCAACAGGTATATTTTTAATTTTCTTCATTCATCACGAAAACGTTTAGAACAGACGTCTTATTGTTTTTCCACGTTTTCGGCCAGATTTCAGGGTTTTTTCTTCATGTAAACTGAACTTGCTCCACTTCTTTGTAGTTTAAGTACTGTGTGAGTTGAGTCGTGTTTGAGTTGGATTCTAATAGGAAACCTCCAACATGCTCATTGAATGGATATTTTGCTAATCACTCAGATTTTGTTCAATTTTTAGATAAAACAGTATGTCTATTGTACTGAAAGTGAGCAATGCCAATGAAAAAGCCTTGTTTCATGGCAAGTGTTGTGATCCGTCCTAAACTTTCGTACAATTGACGATTGTTTCAGCAGTGGCCTCGTTCATCACCAGCTGCTAGTCCATCCATTATGTCTCCACCATCTAAAGGTGTGTTTTTGTGGATCCAATTTCATTTTTAATGCCCATATTATCCCAATATTGATCGTTTTTCTTTCCATTGTTCAGACTGAATTTTAGCCCTTTCGTTGAACCCATTTTCAACCCATTTTTATCTTTTATTTTTACCAAGTCGTAATATTGAAAAAAAACCTACGTGTCACGGCAGACCCCAACAAACAGAAAAGTAAAAGTAAGGTAAAAGTGACTAAATGCTTCAAAATGTTTACCACTTAATACACGCCATTCAGTGCAGGGTCAACCGTCACGTTGGACCGATTTCGAAAATTTTACGACCCCCTCCCCTTTTAGAGGGCCTCGATACGACCCCCCCCTTTCAGGGTCAATCCTCACCACCCTCGCTCGCCATCATGGGGCTCACTCTATAATATTCGATTTTGAGACCAGTCGACACAGCCCAAACTTGTACTTTGTCCAACGGACGGTTGACCCTGATTCAGTAGCATTACTGATGAACTTGCCACTGATAAATTTCGTGCCTCATGAATGTGTGCTTTTGAGAAATGTAATCTGAAACGTTCTGGATTAACTTTTCACCATCGTGAATCGAAAATATCAGTGGTTACTGGCCAATGGGTGAAATCTGCCTTACGTTCATCGGGTCTTGTGTCGTCTGTTTTTTAGGGCAGTAAGCAAATGGGTGAGAGCGTGAGAGGTGAGAGAAGGAAGGGGAGTTGGCGTTCGAAGAGTGGAGTTCAGCGCTGCGGAGAGATGCCACCGCACACGCAGACCACCGACTCATGGCCGAGAGTGCGCGGCAGAGACACAGCGTAGGCTGGATTGGATACTTCCGCTGCCCCCGTGGTGCTCTATTCTTGTGCTCAGTGTAGTGCTACCACTGCATCATCTTCGAGGCAGTTTAGCTCATTCTAACTCTGATAATCTGTGAACGATCACTATTGATGAGTTGATTGCTTCCGGTCGGCCGGTCCTTGCTGAAGTATTTCGTTCCATTTGACGTTCCCCCACCATATATGTATGCATTGCCTGTGTACGAATATTCAATGGTCATTATGTCTCGTAAATTTACTATATTCAGTGTTCTGTGTGAATGTTAGTTCTCCCCCAAACTTAATGCGAAATTACGAGAGCCGGTATCTTTTCGAATTGAATCTAAGCATAAAAAATTTATAATTTCTGGAAACCATTCCCGTTTTCTTCGCGCTCGATGAGAACATTGGAAACATCTTTCATTGCTCATTTTTGATCATCTCATCATCTCTGTTGTCAGTTAGCCAGGAATAGATAAATACTCGTTGATACGTTCGAGTTTTTTTGTGTGGGTTTGATGCCTAATCAGACAATGTGTCACGTTTAGCTTTTGGAAGTGATTGATCTCATTAGAAAATTTTCTTTTTCTCTTTCATTTTATAGTGCTTTACTGATCGCGGTTGAAATCTGAACCTTAGAAATTAGTCTTTTGTTTGCTCTCAATACTGTAACATGCACGCGCGAGTGAAACATCTGCTGTGTTTCTGATTTAATATTAAGTGTATCTCATATTTCCTGATGCTTTTCCTTTTGGTGTATTTTCTCAGAGATGGTTTCATTCAAGTAGTTGCCCCCACGTCGAGTCGAAAAATATGTTAAGCGTGGGGAGCGTTGCCCTGGTGTCGCTTCCTGTTGCCCGTGCGCTGCGCCTTGTCCATAAAATTGAGCACACCTTTCTCTTTCCTACTTAATGGTTATGGCTGACATCTATATGGTGTTGTGGAAGCCTTTTACGCTCTCTCCTAAATGTGGAACATTTCCTTTCGTTTTTAATCTTTGCTTTGTGACCTCGTTGAGATTTTACGATTCCTCACCATTTAGTCATGGACGGTTGTGGACAAATGCAGCCGCGTATGGGTACACCGACAAATATGCACGTGCACAAGGTGTGTGTTCTCCTCTTTTGGCTAGCATTTCCTAACTAGCTGCTTTACCTTGTTACTTCGCGGATGTTGCTATTGTAGTACTTGCAACAGCGTGCTTTGGAAGATAATTCTG